GGGTTGGCAGGCAAAGGATTGATTTCCAGTTTATATAACTATATTCTGGAGTACAACCTGGAATATATTTATAAAAATGGTAATGACCTCCTGGTCCAGAGACTTAGGGAAAAATATAGATTTGGATAAATGGGAACACTTATGGTAAAAAGGATTCAAATGTTCAATTGTGGGTTATCATAGAAAACATGTATAAAATGATCTATAGAAATTATGTAATTCTGAATTAATGACTAAGATTGATAAAGCCCAATGGGGGAGTGTTGGAGATGCAGAACACAGAAAGACACCTTCTTCCATGTTTGGTGGACTTGTATAGTGGTAAAAAAAGTTCTGGAAAAAGGTGATTAAAGAAACTATTAAAATGATTACTAAAAAGATTTTTAAAAACCTCAGAAATGTGCTTATTTGACTTGTTTCAGGAGTGAATTGGAAAAGACAATATGCCTATATAACTATGTGGCAGTGTGAATCATTATAGCAAAATCTTAGAAGGGTGAAAAGAACTACTAAGTAAGGATTGGAGAAGAAAAGTAGTAGTTTCCCAAAATGGCTAAAATCTCCAGTGGCATAAGGGGAGGAAATAAAGATGGATTTGCTAGAAAATGGAGATTGGCCTTTGGATATTTTAAAAAGAAGACAAAAATGATTTTGAAATAGCTAAACAGTAGGCTTGGGTAACCACGGAAAAAATTGGTTCTAAACTCATTTCGTTTTTAGGGGGCCCTTGCGTTTCGTTTTTTTTAAAGAATTCTGAAATTTTCCTTTAAAAAAGTTCAAAATATACGAAATTTCGTAAAATTACGAATTGATTCGTTAATGGCGGACGTGATTGCGCAATATGCTAAAAAACCCTCCAAATGGGACAGGGGGAACTTCTGAAGCTTCCCTCTCCCTCTGTTGTTGACTGTTGGTGTGATAATTTATTTTTTATCACTGATAAAACAAACAACAACTATAAAACGTTCACCAGACATACGGAAATAATTACGAAACAATTTTGAAACAATTTCGAAACAAATACGAAACAATTACGAAACAATACGAATAAAATTGGAAAAATTGTTTCGATTTTTAATTACTCCTCACAGTAGTCCTGCATGGCTCAATACTGGATCGTAAGCTAATTTAAATACGAATTAATAACAAATTACGAAATTAACGAACGAAACCGCCCAAGCCTAATAAACAGGGGATTAATTCGTGTAAAGATAAGGACTGATTTTTGTTAGATACTAGATCCATTTGGTGTGGCATCAGAAGTCATGGGTGGTGGTTGACGGGTGAGAATGGGGAGATAGAGAGGGTGTTGAATTTTGAAGAAAAACAAAATCACTTAAAGTAAACAAGGCAACACCACTGTCCAAAGTTCCGACGTACCAACCAGTTTTCCAGTCCAGGTATCAAGCCATGAGAGTCAGTCCAAATTTGCATCCCATATCAGTACTTCCCAAATAATCTCTGCAGTCTGTGAACCATTATTTGGAAGGGAATGTCAACTTGACCTCTTCCAAACCTGAGGGAGATTAACCCCTTCCAAGCATTCCATAGCAGTTACACTAAAACCACCAAATTGCTGGTCATGGGAGTGATGACATTTAAAATTCTAAATAAATTAGTATTACTATCCAGTTCAAGCTATTGTTATTATGTGGTTAACGGTGAAGGCATTGTTTTATATGTTTAAATGTTTTAATGTATTTTATAATTTCATTTAAATGTTTATTTTAACTGCACATTGTTTTGGAAGGCATGAAATCGTTGCCAAAGCGTAAGCCACTTTGAGTCCCCTCCGAGGTGGAGAAAGGTGGGGTAGAAATGCTGCAGTAAATAAACAAACAAACATTATTTTTGCCTGAAATTGTTTTGAGTTATTATTAATGTTTGCCACCCTAAAATGCCATGATAAAGATGGAATGAATATATTTTAATGATTAAATGTAAACACATACAAAAGAAACAGAATATCATTGATCTCCTTTGTGTCTTACTACATGTCTCAAAGAGTGTAATGAAAGTTGGATTCCTTACAAGTACATGTTAAAGTAGCCAGCAAATAACTGACTCCATCCTCTCTTCCTTTTTATGATTCAGCTTACAAGGCAACCTCTTCCCCCTCTGGTTACCATCACTTCAAAGCTTTCATTGATCAGCAGAGTATGAAGAAGGAGGAACAATTCCCAAACTTTTGGTAGTGATCTTGCTTGAATCGCTACTCATTAAATTGAATCAAGAACCCAAGGAGACCCTTTTCCATTGATGTGCCTACCCCAACACTGGGGCAAGAGTACATATTATGCCACTAGCATCTGATTTGTAACCTCGGTCATGCTAAAAAAAGAGCGGTTTATTTGATCTATGATTTTTTTTAAACTGCAGTACATATTGAAAGGTTATTTAACAAAAATGAGGGGGTCTTTCACATGGCTTATCATCAGTAACAATTAAAACCTAGATGATCAAAAATAATATCATACATTTTACCATTTTTTCCTATCCATTTTATGTTTAAGTAGCAGGGTTGCTGATCCTTGTGAAGAAGTGGGCTTGTGAAGTCTTTCTGGAGATTTCTCAGAACTATTGGTCAAGTTGACTTTGCAGAAGTCTTCCAGTCAACTCCCAAGGCCACACAAGGCTCCCAAAACTTCTGCTCAAGTCTTTCAACCTTTCCATATTCCTTTGTATATCCTTTATCTGGCCCCAAAATGGGGGTGGGGTGGCACATTAGTTGCACTTATGCACTGTTGAGGAGGAAGATTTTAGCACCCCTCTCCTGCCAGTAACTGAGGATGAGATAAGGACTAATAGCTTTGCTTACTGGTGAAAGGGAGCAGAAATATTATCGTTCTTGCACCCTGATTCAAAGCTGAATGTCTCTCTTTTATCCAATCTGAAAAAAGAATTTCAAGTCTTATAAAACAGCTAAATAACAAGCAATGGCAATGGAAATTTCCTTTTCTATAGCACACTTGAAAGTAAAGGAGTTCTCTCCAGCTTTCTCTAGCAACTCTAATTATGTTACAATACACTTCAATTGCCATGGATAAATCTCATGGAGTCCTCAGATTTGCAATTGCAGGAGGATGCACCAGATGCCTCATCAAATTACAAACTACAAAGTACACAATTCCATAGGATACAGCTATGCCAGCTGAAGTAAAATCATAGTGCTAGCACTGAATTGTATATAAGGACCTGTGATATAATGTATAGTACTAAAGATGATTTAAAATTGCATCACTGTTTCTCACTACAAGCCCTTTCAATAAAAGCAAAGATATAAATATATTTACTTTTTTTAAAAAAAAAAACCCATCCTAACTACAGTCCCAGTGGAAATTATTTCCCAAAGAGGAAATCAAGAATGAAACCACTAACATGAACAAAAGCATCCTTGCTTTGTCAGGAGCTTGAAAATGTTCCCTTTTTGGGACTATTGACAGCCATGAAGTCCAAAGAGTTATTTATCAAAGTTTTGTCTTATGCTGACAGTACAGGGGAGTGGATATTCATCTGATCTGATGTGTTGGAGGTTACCATGAATTCTACACATTTTAGTCAAAAAATCAACCTAAAAAACCTAGGCCAACTTATCCACAAGTCAATGTAAGTACTTTTATTCAAAAAGAAATAGTGCTCTAGCACAGTGGTTCTCAACCTGTAGGTCCCCAGATGTTTTGGCCTTCAACTCCCAGAAATCCTAACAGCTGGTAAGCTGGCTGAGATTTCTGGGAGTTGTAGGCCAAAACACCTGGGAACCCACAGGTTGAGAACCACGGCTCTACCAGAATCTCCATCTGTCCTAGGAATACCTTTAAAAAGCAGATAATCGTTATACTCTCTCTGCGTGGCTCTGCTTCTCGACTTTTTGAATGCCTGGGTGGGGAACTGGCAGTGGCTGTTTAAAGTGGCACTGGTGTTTTCCTCCTCCATGGAATGACCATCAACTTATCGACAAGCCATATCAAAATCTATAATTTTGCCACCCCAAATCTGCCCTTGATTTGTACATGAGGTTGACTTATGCATGCATGTATATGGTAATTTCATTTCTTATCACTTTCCAGGATTGTTTTAGGTTTCTTGCTTTCTTCTCACTTCTAGGTTCATACTGCCTTAGTTTTTTTTTAAATCTTCTGTCTACCATCTTAACTGTATTATTGAAATGTCACACCTCCATATTTTGTATCTTATTTATTTATTTATTTATTTATTGGCATAGCAGAGCATGTTACACACTTTGCATACTGTATTCAGCACAGGACCTGCTTCAATGGGCCAGCTGAGAAACCAGCTTTCACCTTGTAGCTCCCATTCCATTTTGTGGTAGCATAGAAAAAAAATAGGGAAAGAAAAAGAGAGAAAGAAACAGGGCAGGAAGAAGGGAGGGAAGGTGGGGAGATTGGGTGTGTAAATTGTGCTGTCACTCACCTACAATTAACTTGTTCCATTGGTTCCACAACGCTGATCCTAATTCATATGAAACAGGTAGGATGGTCAACCTGATGGTAGGTTAATTTGCAGTTGGAGCCACAACACAAAGGAATATGTATGTATGTGGATCTGAAGGCTTGACACATGCAGCTTCAAAGCCATTTTGTGACCTTTCCAGGTTGTTCCCCTCCCCTCTTTTAAACTATAGTCTTCTGCTTGTTTCAATTAATCTTTTAGCTTTCTGCCAAGGTGGTGTGCTTTGCTGCTGAAATTCAGTGATTTGGGGGTGGAATGATCAGGCATTTGACCCTACTTCAAGCTGCACATCTCAAATATGCAACGTACATGTCAAGGAGGAACATTCAAACTGGCCCCATTTATTATGTGCAAAGCAGTTCCTTCTGCTTGCAATCTAAAGTGGTATGGTTCATAAACAGGTTTATTATGTCACCTATTTCTAGAAGTAAACAAACTTGATTTTGTGCAGCATACAACTGACAGTAATGTAGACCCGAGAGTAATGGAGTGCAAGCTTACTACAGTTAATATCATGAATCATATTGGAGATTTGTACAGCAACTACTTTATTATTTTCAAATGCAAACTTTTGCATTTAGTTTGCTATTTTACAATTTTACAAACTAGGTATAAAAGACCATAAATAAATGTCATAAGTTATGTGTACCTACGATTGATGGAGAGGAAAAAAATTACAAATTAAAACAAAATAGAAAATCTATATTTCTAACCGAGAGATCATTCAAATCTGCAACCCAAGCAATTCACTGTTAAGATTTTTCTTTTCTTTTCAGTATGGACTAAATTATCAAATGCCTCATACATTCTAACTTTAACCATAGTCCTTGCATATTCCAACGTACTTGTAGTGATACAAAAAAATAAATGTACTCTCTTTTTTTAATATGTCTAATTATTATTCAGGAATGCTTCTTTCTGGTTATGAAAATGTCATGTAAAAGAAAAATACTGCTTTGAAGACCTGTTCACTGGCAAGAGCCAGCTTTTTCATTTTATACATATACATACATACATATATATATTTAATACATAGATCCATCACAAAGTTAATACAGCAAGAAACCTGGACAAACATCAACCGGTGAGGTTGTGAGTAGAACAATTTCTTAAAGTACAGAGGTTTGCTGTGTTAAGAATGTCCTGTTGATGTATCTTCTGTGACCAGGAAAAAATGAGGGTCAGTTCTTGATTAACAACTGGATGTTGGGGTGGGGGGGGGGCAGGGTAGTATGTGTGTGTTTTTCCCTTTATTTAAATCATGTTTGGTATATTGGGTAGTATGTGTGTGTTTTTACTTTTATCTAAGTCATGTTTGGTATGTTGGCTGCAATTACAGTATGCCTGGATGCAGTCCACAGTATATGCCCTCTGGCTCCTTGACCGTGCTGCCATCAGCACAACCCACATGAGTCAAGGAATATTGATCTTCAATGTTGTGTTCATCAGACCAACAAAAATTGTCATAAAAATAGGAAAGTAAAATAACTGAGGGAAGAAGAGGCAAAGGTGAACAAAGAACTCCCAATAAATTTTAGGGCTATGGTCAATGCCAAACATTTTAAATGCAATATTTACACATTCTTTTCCTTGAGTCCCCCCTACCCCCCAAGGCATATGTGTCTGACTGTCCTGTTTAAGCTGGCTTTGATGCACTATATCTCAGTAGGGAAGAGTCTTCTGCAACCAGAAAGCAGGTCGAGCACATCAACTGCTGAGCTCAAAATGTGGAATGGCAGTCCATTCCCTAGACTCCTGCATTCAGCTTGGCTCCAAGAAGAGTATACAGAAAATTAACAGTGAACTCTCCGGACTCAACAAAGTCTCCTACATAGAATAAGTTAAGCCATAACTGCAATGAACTATACTGGAGCCTTGGAAAGTAATTTACTTAGGCTAAAAACACTGAGCAGTTTTGCAAACCACTTGCTAATCTTCATCTAGTTATTAATTTCAGTGAAAAAATAAAGATTTGCCCACCAGTCAATTAATGGGTCCAAAGCTCTTGCAGATGGCTTATTGAATTATTTACTTCTGTGAATGGATAATAGTTGCATATTTCTATTTGTAGTCAACAAATCTTTCAAAAATTATTTTTCTGAGGTGGCTGGGGGGAGGGGAGGGAGAGAGGCTGTTTATTTAGTCTAAAACAACCTGATGATGGATGAAGACTTCATCTCCACTTATGTTCCCTTAAGGAACTGCTCCTTCAATAATGAACAGGCCGCAGCAAGACTAATGGTTATCTATGCTGTTCTTTATCACCATTATGGAACTCACTATGGATCACTCCACAACTAAAGTGAAAGTGCCCCTGCTCTCGGCTGGATAACTATTTGTTAAGGTTAGTGTGGCAGCTACATAATAACATGAATAGATACAAAACCATAACATTCAGGAGAGTGTGTCTGTGTGTCTATGTGTGTTTTCTTGCTACTGTTGCATAGCTCACCCACTGGCCTGGTAACTCAACAACCCATCGAGAACCTGTCAAGTTATCTTGAAATGCTATTTGCATGTTTACAGGTGGCTCTGTACAACAGGCAATACACAAGCACACATATGTGTATGCACACAGACATACACACCCCCTTCCCCCAGGCCAAACCCCTACTCACGCGTTCCTGGAAGAGATAATAAGCTATTTTCCATTCTATTAAAAAAATCTTGACATTATCATAATGGCACACTTTGCTGTCAAATGCAGTCTTTGCTTCTGTGAACTGGGTTCTCTGCTATGGCACCTAACCCTGGTGTCCATTTAATCGTAGGGTTCCACTACTTACACTCATACAGATGCAACAGTGACATGCAAAAGCAAAACAAAACATCCCCAAAATAGTTTTAAATAAATGGAGTGAGAAAAAAGAAGTCTGTAGGGCTTTCATACAGTACATTCCTTAAGTGGCAATGAAAGAGCCATATCTGGACCTTATTGTCTTTTGTTTTTGTTGCCAACAGTAACAATAAAAAACTTTCCAAAAAGAAGAAGAAAGCTATAGAGACACTCTTCAAGGAGTCATGCTGTTTATAAACAGTCCATCTTCTCTACAGTCAGTGCTCATCAGAACTGGGAGACTAGATAGTTTTTGCCTTTATCTTCCAAAGTCATGGTGAGCGTCAGGAAGAGCTGAGGCTATGAAAGCAGGATCCATTTTTCCCTATTAAAAACAAAGAAAAATACATCACACAATTGCAAGGTCATCAGATGAGAAGCCTTGATACTATATGTACTTGGTACAAGGATGATCAACATGAGTGTCTTTGACATTTTTCACAAGAAAAAGTCTGTGATATCTAGATGCATATATTTGTCTAACACTTAATCCAGTTAGATTATACCCATGACTGTAAGTATGGAGAGGTTTGAACTGCAGAAAGCATTTCCATTGTTAAAATAGGCTCAATTATTTTTAAACAGCATGATACCTTAGAAGAATTGAGCCTTTATACCATACATTTTCTTGTATTTAAACTATGAAAAGTATTTAGACTCTCTAGTTCTTTTTTGTTTCTACTTGTTTTGCATCCAAACTTTTTCTTGAAGTATTTCAGGTTTCTCTCACACTCTCCTTGTGTTCTTTTTTTTTTTTTGTCCTCCCTCACCCACGGACCACATGTCACTCATGTAGATTCAGACAATGGTTCAGAAATTGTCTTTCATAAATTTCCACTGAGACCTTTTAAATTATTATTCAGAAGTTACATAGTGTTAAAGTGCGTTAGCAATAATATGCTAGTTAAGCATTAGGATCATTTTCATATTGTTTGCATTTCTCTTTCCCTTGCCTTATCTGTGTTGAATCTGCTGGCTTGGGTACAGTTGCTATGATTCTTGTTGTTAGTGGTCTTAGCTAGCTCCAGGTTAATAGAAACACTACACTGTATTTATTTATTTATTTATTTATTTAATACACTATATTTAATACTGTACATTTCATTTGGTTAAATGCTAGTTTATTTACATTGACTTGGAGAGTGGGATTATCTCTGACTAGTGGCCACACAAGATGGGATATTTAGGAAGTGAAGTTCAAAACATCTAGAGGAAAAAAAAGTCAAAAACACTGTTCCATGGGAAGAATGGGGGGCTTGCTGCTACTAAGGGTTGTAGTCCAGTGACAATCCTTCAGGTTAAGTTCTCAAAATCCACAGTAAAAAAATACTAGAAATTTGTTGAATGCTACTAGCAGTCAAAGTGGACAATGCCAGGATAGATGGAGAAATGTTCTCAGTCCATATAAGGCATTTTTCCATGGACATGAGGTTCTATTCAGGATACCTTTGCTAAACAGATGAAATCTGCAGATGACATCAAGTGATGTGGATTTCCAACTGAGTGACTTTGTTTACAACTCAACTGACCTGCTGAATTATACAGCAAAATCTGAGGGAAATGAGTGAATGGATGTTACTGTTCTCTGTATGTTCACATGTGAATGAAGGCTATTGCTCTCTGTATGAGGTTGGATTCAACAGGTAAGGTAGCATACAAAAAATACTAGCTTGATTCAGAAATCTGGGACCCTGCTGCTGTGCTTAGTGTTCACATTTTCCTGTATATTATAATTGCTTACAGAATAGCATGTTAATGTTCCCCTTTTTGTTTTGTAGAAGAAAAAGTAAAGATAGGCATCTTGAATTACTACTATGTCTCTTGTTAGAGACAAGCATGCCTAATTAGTGATAGTGGCAAGTTGGTACATAGAATTGTATACAAAAACACTGGGAGATTTTTTTGGCTACCTTTAGGCGCCCCTGGTGGTGTAGTGGGTTAAACTGCTGAGCTGCTGAACTTGCTGACTGAAAGGTTGGTAGTTTGAATCTGGGGAGCGGGATGAGCTCCTGCTGTTAGACCCAGCTGCAAATGTAAGTAGATCAATAGGTACTGCTTCTGCGGAAAGGTAACATGTAGTCATGCTGGCCACATGACCTTAGAGGTGTCGAAGGACAAGGCTGGCTCTGTCTTAGAAATGGAGATGAACATCACCCCCAGAGTCAGACACAACTAGACTTAATGTCAAGGGGAACCTTTATCTTTACTTTAGATGAGTATTCTGTATTTTAATATGGATTCAGTAAAAACAGCAATGATTCAAAATGGGGTTGCATATGTATTGTAGGGTTGGAAATGGGGTGAAGAAATTATTTGACAAAAGTGGGAAGGGGATATCTCAGAGTCAGATCCCCTATATCTATATTCAAAGCATACAGAAAGTGAGCACCAAATTTCAAGTACATCAGATTTGGAAGAAGGAAATTTCTTAACTCGTTACCCTCCATGTTGATTTCATGGAACATTTCTCCTTCCTCTTTTTATTTTGTTGTTGTTTGTAATGCTTAGGGGTAATATTAATTAGGCAAAAAAACCAGGTGGAATGAAAAAGGTGAAATCCCCAGCTCTCCCATTCTGGTCCTAAGTGCAATTAGAATTTGCAAGTTGCTTTTTTAAAAAAGTTTAGAAGTGTGGGGTCTGATAATGGATCATCTCGTTTGACATTCAGAAACTAATTCAGTCACAAATAAGCATCTTGTTTTTTTTAAAAAAATGTATTTAGAAAACTAAGACTTTGACAAAGTGGCATTAAAATATAACTGTTAAGGTACCTTTTTAAAAAGCACCCATTCTCCCATACAGAAAAAGCTTTTATGGGCAATTCTGCAAAAAGGTTTTGCCAAGCTGTCAGGGTTTGACAGGATCCAAATTTAGCATCTCCTGTTCCCAACAGTTTGCTTTCAGAATCAAGTTCATAGGGGAAGCTTGTGGTTAAAATCAGTAAGTTGTCGTTACAAGTGACAAAAAGTGATGAGAGTGACGTCGGGAATATGGCAGGTTTGACTTGCTCAATTCACTCCATGCTCCTGTCTTCCAAATAAGTGTGGTGATTTCTAACAAATCAGACTCAAGTGTCATTTTCTTTTTGTGCTGTAGCTGCTGTCACAAACAGATAGAACTAGAGAGACTGGGGGCAGAGGATGGTGCTAGTGGAATCAAAGCTGAAGACCTAATAGGTGATGTTGCCGTCCTCCAAATAATAAGCTCAACTGAAATGGTTCTAACAGGTGGCCCCACTGAATGACAGTTCTATTCTTTGCACAGCTTTTCTGTATGCTGCTCTGGTCACAAAAGTAGCTGAGATTTTGGATCTAAGAATGCAATTTTTATGTTCTTGTGAGTAAGTCTGACTGAACTCATACATAGAATAGTGCAGCACAACATTTTGTACTGCCACAACAGAGCAAAATAAAGGGGAGAGGTATAATAGCACTTGAAATATTTTTCCTCCTCATATTGTTTGTTCAACATAGATGAAGAACATATGGTCAAGGCAGCAGGTTTTTTTTAAACAAAACATTCACATTATGTCAATATATACAGCTGGATATAGGAAATCTTGACAAGTGAGACTAAGGAAAGTAACACTTTTCCAATGCTAAGTTGTATTTAGAAGGGAAACCACAATAAAGTAATCATATTCATCTACCAAAATCTACTGTATAAAAAAAACTTGATTCTGTTCTGGAATTGGATTTTGGACTATCTCAGCACTGAGAATCCTAAGATGGACCTCATATGACATCAGTTCTGTACCAGCGTTGCCAAATGATAATTTAATGGAGGATGATTTGAAACTTGTCTACTTAGTGATTCTCAACTTGGCAAGGATATTGTGTGTTAATTATGAGTTAAGACCAGTTTGAGGGCTGCTCAGTTGGATTCATATTCAGCTAATATTAAAGGTGGGGAAGTACTCAAAATATGGGAGAACAACAACTTTTAACAAACCAGTATAGATTTTTTTGTCACAGAATATTAGTAAACATCCACCTATGTCATCCTTGATTCCAGCAACTCCTGACATTTATGTACTAGACACCATGACTGAACAGAGTCCTCATTAGAACCCAAAGCATGCAAATATGAACAATGTACTGTGCCTGTCACAGAAGGGAGTAGATATTTTATGAACTGATTGCACTAAGAAGCACCTTTCACCAACTGAAGTGGTGAAAGGTGAATCTCTACAGTGAGCCAATACTGGTGTTCAAGGGGCAACTGTTACTTCTTCTTGCTGAGTTATGCAAAGGTAGCCCTGTAGTATCTGTGGTGTACCACCACAGGCAATGAAGGGTTAAGCAACGTCCAGTAGACCCCAGGAAACCATTAATGGTCCTTGAGCATCCAGGACAGAAAATGTGTACAAGGAGCTACTCGTAATTCTGTGTACAGTGTCTTTAGATGTGGTTACACCATAAACCACCAAGAGGATTGTGGTATCAATCTGAGATATAATGTATAAAAAACCTGTGTAGGATCATTGCCTTATTACAATAAAATGAAAACAAAGTAGTATTTTCCATATATTTATTCTGTCTTATTACAAATATGGAAACGAAGACCTCAATAACAAAATGAAAAAGCCATAATTCCACTTACCTTTCCAGTCTTAAACTATTAGTTGTCTCTTGGAAAGTTGAAAGAATGGATGTCTGGAAGATCCGCAGTCAAGAATAGCTGACTAGAAGTTGTCATAAAAGGTGGCAACAATAAGACTCAGTGTGGCATAATGCTGCCACTATTTCCTACTTCAAAAAAACCCCAATAATCCAGTAATCCACAGAGATTTCTGTCTCCACTTGCAAATGGACAAATCTTGGATTCAGAGACACTGATCAGCCAAAAGATAGTTTTCTACAAAGTACCATTGATCTTCAGAGAACGTCAACATTTCCTGGTACAAAAGATTCTTCATCCCAAGGTGAACGGTGGTTTATCCCACAGATCAAACACAATGATTGTAATCCCAATGGCTGCTGGTGGAACAATAATGCTCTCCTTCCTTTTAGTATAGTATCTGGCAGCAGACACAGCATCAGAATTTTTGTGTGATGTTATATAGATACATGTATATTACATAATCTTGATCCACACAGAAGTATATCCCAAGAAACAATTTGTTCCAGGCCTGTTCTCAAATGACTGGTTGCCATTTCTGTAGGTTCTCTCCGCATAACACTCTCAGCAATCTTTATATATCAATCAATGCTGCAAATCACCTTTTTAATTATTATTAATATTATTATTTCAAACGGCGAGGAGAAGTAAAAAAAGTGCAGTTCTTCAGTTAAAGTGCATGGATGAGGTAAACTAATTTCAAGAGTTTATTCAGTACTGGCTCAAACCGGAACCATTCTGCCGTGCATTTGTTGCATTTGGGTCCTCATTGCTTGGACGCTGCTCAGAATTTTATTCTGGTGTGCAGTGGCAGTAATTCCAATTCTTGACAGGTCACTGGATTAAATAAAAAGGAGGAAGTTGAATTGTGAGAACTTTATGCCAGAGATGGATGCAGTAAAATACATTACAGGCAAGAATACACACACAAATAAAATATTGCAAAGCAAGATGAATGAATAAAAATATGTACATAATTATCTCAAGACACTGTGTAACGTATTTTGACGTAATGTCATGTAGCCTAATATGGGCACCTTGTGGCCCTGCAGATATTGCTGAACTGCAATTTCCATCACCCCACACCACTAGCTCAGCTAAGGTTGATGGGAGTTACAATCCATGAACATCTGGAGGGCCTGTTTTAAATTAAAAGCATTCCAGTGCATTAATGATGTAATGATATGCAGCACAAAGCAAAAGAAGACGATTAAATCCAGATTTACCAGTTTTTTTGTTATACCGCTGAGTACTTACTCCTGGTTCATATGCACTACAGCCTCTAGGGTAGTATAGCTGGCAGCTGTGAAGTTATCCTTGTATCGCTCCATCTTAATAGCTTGGAGCCAATCTCCAACAGAGACTACAGCAGAAAATTCAGGAGAACTTGGATCCAACAAAGCGGTATTAGGCCTAAGAACAGAAAGTAACAGATTAAAGAGATACTGGCTGAACAACAAGAAGTAGTAGTACGCAGACATTTGTATTCATTGTAGATGAGAAAGGCCTTGACATTGTAGGAAACTAAATGTAATTTAATTGCTAAAGACTACATTTGCATAAAACCCCAAGAAGACAGAAGTAGTCAGGATCTGCTGCAAAAGAATGCATTTATTGCACTCATAATTCCAACACACACACACACACACACACACACACACACAC